AACTATAAATGCATAGTAATAATGGGTGAAGGCCGTTTAAAGGCCGGATTGCACGAACAACATGTATTTCAAGTCACAACACCAGCACACGAACATGTTGCAAAGAGATGCAGCAGTATTTGGTTCAAATGCAGTTCAACAGGAAGCACCTGTTCCCCATTTTAAGAATAACGTGTCCATACATAGAACTGCGCCAATCGCGCACACGCAGATCATCATGCACACATCTTGCAAACATCCTGATATGAAGAACTCATGAACAACGGGTGGCGTGATGATCCGAGAGCCTGGAGGGATGGACGTCCCTGTGCTCCATTTGGGCTCTCCGAGGGTTCTAAGCAGGAGCCGCCTCCATCTCAATAACCAATCAAAGATGCTCCTAGAGACTATATATATGTTAAGCGCCTTTTTTCATGTTGTTGTAAAACTAGGAAATAGGTCCGTGCACGATAAACTGCAGGACAGAATACTCTTGATGCAAATAAACTTGTCATATTGCTTTGAGAAAAGTCTCCAGTCTAGTCCTGGTTTTGCTCGCACGACATTTGCCATAAAAAATATACCTTATAGTTAGTTACAGAATGTGACACTTGATAACGGCGTGGGGATTCGTTTTAGTCACAGATTACTTGATAGCAAAATGCAGTTGCACTTGCCCCAAAGCGTGAATTGTCCAATGCTTACTTACTAGAAATAATTAAGGCAGGAATGAAATAAAAATCAAGCATATCAAAAATAAGAAGAAAAAAATCCAACCGTGTATATTTTGCAGATTTAAAATCCTCTTGGTTGAGACGCTCCAACGTGTCTTCAGTAACACAGCAACCGATGGCGCCGGTTTACACGTCAGCTTGCTGAAAACAAGAAGAAATAGTCACAGTGTGCAAAATCACCATTTACACTTCAAGTCCCACACACACACACACACACCACACACACCACACACATTACACACACATGGACACACTCTTGGCCGTTGTGTGCTTCGACACTTGGCCTCAAGTCATGATTGATAGATGCTGTTTACTTGCGGGCAAGGCACTCAATTTCAACTTAAGATGCCATTAGTGACAAACAATGCTTTCTCAAAGGAGTGAAAACAAGCTAAAACAACAGTTATTAAGATAATTATGAGTTATTGGCGCCATTAGGGCTCCATGGGTCTTTGTTATTGTGACTAATATTTCTTTGGTTGGTTTTCTTGAGGATCTCTGATTTCCTGACGCCTTTCCAATTATCAATAATGACTTTTCTGTTTTTTCTTGGTGTTGATGAAGCATCACCAACGTGCAGCAGTTTGGACTCCAAGAACATTTTAGAGGACGAAGGAGTCAAAAATGCTGGAGAAGAAATATGACTTATAACACTAAATACACACAGAGAGGCTCTCAATCGGTCTTTTATTGTTACGGAAAAGAAAACATCACTAAATGCAGAAATAAATGCAGTCTTTGTGCTAAGCTAGGCTAAAGGGATTTGCACATTTGGAGGGAACAAGAATATCTTTTAAGTGCACTTCAGAGAAAGTAATTTATTGTGCCAATTCTTCCTAACATAAATTAAAGAGAAAGTAATTACTCTAAAAGAATAAGAAAAGCGGTAACGGTTTATAGTCACAGGAAAAAGTCCCCAGCATCCTTTGTGTTTGAGTAAACTTTGCTTATAGAAATAGTTCCTGCGTTTTGTCATGGCTTCATCTCGTGATTAGCTTCAACACTCCGCTGCTTCCATGAATTAGACTTGTTGTTTCAACTGTCACTTTAGATTTCTCCCCCGGCCTAAAGAGCCCTGTGACGAATCAGATGCACTACAACTGTTTTCCCTCCCGAAACAACAAGAAATACGCGCTTTCATTTGTCCCCCTTCGCCTTTGTTTTATGGAGCCCTGCTCCGGATCCACCGGGTTTCGGAAGCATATACTGAAACCAAACAGCGTGCAAAAGAATTAACATTCTAATTAAAATCTAATTATACTTTGATTTGCCAGATAATTATACTCGTGTGTCGCTGTTCTCTGGACTATTGAGATTTGATGAGGTGTGTTAGTGGTAATTAGCTCGCTGATATGGAGTTGTGTGACAGCGTAGCTTTCACGCAGCGGCAGAAACAAAAGAAAATGTAGTTCCTTCTTCATCCGTGTTTCAGCAGTTTGGGTAAGAGTAAGAAAAGCTAAATTAAACAGATTTCAATTCTGTGGCATGTTGCAATACCATTGAACTGTTCACAAAGAAGAAAAATAAAGATTATCATTTGGATGCAGTTCTAAATGTGTTTAACGGATATGATTGTGTCCAGTCACAAAGGAAATGTTTTATTTAGACTGAGAAAAACAACTCAAGAAAAAGGGGAAATAACCGTTTCATAAGATGCTTTAAAAATAAATGTCAATGCTGGTGCCATCCAGTGATATATGGACAAATGTGCCAACGTGTATTACTGAAATTTCGCAATACTCATAATACATAATTCCATAGCCTGCAGTCACATCCTGCACCGGCGGAACACTCCCTGTTCAAACAGCACGTCCTACAAACAGCCCCATGCGTGTAAACGTGCCATCAGCGTTTATTGTAACCTGAGAGGGGAGGAGGGGGGGGGGGGGGGTAGTTACTCATCTCCAGTCAATAACTGTGTCACTCGTCTGGAAGAGTTTTCCCGTGGCCAGATGTTGCGTTGGGTTTAAAAGTCTGAGGAGGGCTGAGGTTGGTGCAGCTCCGCGCTGCTCTGCCAAGGTTTAGAGGTTCAGCTCCCCGCGCCGATCAATGCACCGAGTCTGCCAGGGACGGGTGATTGGGTTGGCGGGGGAGGAGGTGGTCGGATTTTAAAATGGCACAATGAGCCATCCATGCTTCCATAATGGGCCTTGAGTACAAAGACAGCTTTAATTAAATGTTAAAGATGAGGTGTTTTTTGTTGCCATGGCAAACACGAAAATATGTGTTTCTGATATTGAAATGTACATCAAGACACAACTAATCAACCGCCCCAAATTACTACAAAGTTAAAGCAAGTTTTCAACCAGGCGGCAACCTCCTGTTCTGTGAAGCCAACGTATGTCTGAAAGCTGCATCCTCTCTATTGACCAGCAGGGGGCGACTCCTCTGCTCCCATAGAAGTCTATGAGAAAGTGACTCTACTTCTCTCCTGATTTATTCCCTCAGTAAACATGGCAAACATGGCAAACCTGGGTTTATGGTCTCAATCTGTAGTTTCAAGTCTTCTTCAACACAGCGTGATGTTCATTTGGTACATTTTAGTCTATTTAGAGTCAGACAGACCATAAAGTAGGGTATGCTTTGGGCCGGCGCTCGCTGTGATTGACAGGTCTCTAACAGACGTATACGGCGTCCCTAGGTCACTCCTCCTCAGTCCAAATATGTCACTTACATATGGCCGTAATCCAAGATGGCAGCTGTGTCTGAAGAAGGGAGGGCGAGTCAACTTGCAACAAAGGAACTGTGTGTTGCTCCATCTTAACCGTGGCTCTTAGCTCAACTTGTTTTGCAACTTCTCGTACCTGCCACTGAGGATGGCCTTCACATCTGTATATAAAAACTCTCCATCTCCACAGAGCACTGTGATACGTGCTGGTGTATTTGACCTCCTGCTTAAATGGACTTTTCGCAACTTTGATCATTCATCAAGACTTTTTCATTAGACAAACATTAAAAGAAATCATTCTCTTCTCCCGAACTAGTTTCGTTGAAATATTCCATAACACATCTGTTTCCACTTTACCGGGAAAGTCGTTTTTGATGACCGCTTTGTTTGCCACGTGCTCAAGCCGATATCTGTGCTTCAATGAGAGGATCTCAACCTCCATGTCAACTAATGCATTTGAAAAGGAGAAGATACACATTCCCATTTCTGTGCAGAGTGAGTGGTTCTTCCTAAATGTAATCAATCCGGACAGCATGAAAAGGAGAAATGAAAGTAATGTTTTATTCGCGTGTGTTAGTTCTAACTAGTTTGTCGAATTAAGGCCACGAACCATGTGGTCTTAATCAAGACAAATTGGATTTTAGTGTCCTGGTGGAGAAGACCTTCATTTACCACTGAAATGACGCACATGTATGTGGACATTATTTCTAGAAATATCTTAGTTATTTTGAGACATCTTATTCAATTCATATTTCTATTCTATTTTAGAAAAAAGTAAATAAACATAGTCAAAAATTAAATAAAAGCATGCTGCAGTAGACAGATGGGCCTGCCGAGAATCAAACCGTCAACCCACTGCAATGGCAGTGCCTTGCTCATTAAGAGAGAAGAATGAACATCTGTCCTGCACTCTGGCATGCATGGATACGGCAATGCAACCTTAGTAAGTCGCTTTGCACAGATGATGATACAGATGTTATTGGGTGTGTGCAATGGGACCTCCGCCTCTGCAGAAGTCCAACAGCTGGTTGCATCTTGCGCATGCGCACTAAGCTGCAAACAGACGAGGCCTTGAAGGACCGTTGGAGAGATCTAGTTCTCCTAAATTCACCACCAGTTAGCATGACAGATGTTTACCTATAGATCTGTAAATGCAACCTTCTAGATACTTTATACACATCCATTAGGACAATGAGTGATTTCTAATATTCTGAGACAGAACTCTTCTCTACATATCCCAAATCTCTATTCCAGAGGCTCATACACGCTCATATATATGATGTATAGCCAGAGATGCAGAGAGAAATCCAAGGAGTTGCTCACTCAAAACGTCTGTTCCTAACATTTCAACAAAATGTCAATTTTGTAGATCTGTTCTGGAAATATATTTCACAAGATGAATGCTCCTTTGCATATTTTAACACAACATTTTCCCCACTGCGTTTGATGGTTTACACTTTTACTTAATCCCCCCTTATAAAAAAGCGCATTTCTTAAGTATCCTTATTGTCTTCATTAAATAAATGAAGTTTCCCACTGCGGTAAATAAAGTCGCTCCCGCAGCACTCAGAAAGCCGAGCCACGGCGCGAGGCCTTGAACGCGGCCTAAACTTTTCTTTTTGCTCCCCGGAGAAGTTCTTCTTCTTCTTCTTCTTCTTCTTCTTCCTCGCCAGCAGTGATTTGTCGCCTTCGCCCCGGGAGTCCTGCTCGTTTTTATTGAGGATGTTGAGCGGAGTGAGCGGTGAGTCAGGAATATGAGGAAACCTCGCGGCCGGCGGTGACGTCGGGGCGGTGCTTTCCTTTATTTCGCAGGTCAAAATCCGTTACACGCCGCTCGTCTTCGGAGGAACTGACTCTCTGCTGTCGCCGCCCGCGCGCGCCGAGGAACCGCTTCGAAAAGGCTGTTTTTTTTAAACTTTTAACTTTAACCACAAGTCCTTTGTTCTTCAACCCATCTCCACCGGGCTAACCTATCCCCCCCCCCGCACGACGATGTTGGAAAAGTTGCCCGCGGAGGGTCGACGTTTTTCCGGAAGGACTCGGTGGACTTCGGCGGCGCTCGCGGCGGCGCTGCTGGGCGCGCTGGCCTCGTGCTGCTGGGCGGAGGAGGCGTCCTGTCACGGCGCTTACGACCTCTACTTCGTTTTAGACAAGTAAGTGAGACATGTGACTAAAAGCACGTCCCTTTCCATGCAAACCGTTTTTCCCCGTGACCTGCTGTGGATGCCGTCTCCTGTGACCCGTCACGTTGCGTGACCTGACCTTGGCACTGCAACGTGAAACGGTGGACACCGTGGTGCTGTTGTTGGGGACCATGTGGACGAGGGCGTAGAACAGGGAGGCCAGGGGCTACGTGGACGCTCCGTCGTGTTCCCGTCACTCAAAGCCAGATGCATGAAGAAACGTTATTCCCAGTTTGGAGCAACATGACCGTGATGCAATCTGCGAGCCAGACGTCATCACTGGGCCCTTCACGATAGTAACAACGTGACGTCATCTTGACATGCCGAGGATCATTTATTTACGTTTTAGGACATGACTTTGATATTATAAATTGAATATGTCCTCAGTTAAGACGTTTTTTTGCACTGTCGCACATGCTGCTCTGGCTCCTCCCACAATGCTTTGCGCTGCAGATGCACGAGAGACGGGTTCAAAGTGGCACGCGACCAGGCATCTGTGCATCTGTGCGTGCAGTTTGAACTCACAGTAAAGGCAAAAAGAGGGATTTAGAATGCAGCTTGTGGCCCAGCGAGTGACGCTGCTTCCTGATTGGCTGCGGTCTTGCTCAGCGGTCACACGGCAGGAAAAGAGAACTCTTGACAAACCCCATGGAACCACGCGGGTCGCAAACCACGAAAACCCCGACCACTTCCTTGACACCAAGCAGGTGGTGTTCTCCTCGTATTCCGGGTTAACCGGCGCCTAACCAGCTAATGACAGCAGCTGGTCACCGGATGTCATGAGGTTGGGCCGCTCCGTCCGCATGGGAAACAATACAGTCATGATATTAGGTAGTGACCATGTTTTGTGGATGTTAACAGTTACAGACATTCACCTCATTCCTCTAATCTTCTTTTTGAAGTAACAGTATTTACACCTTAACACACGGCCATTGGAGTCTGTAAATATCAATAAACGTCAGACCTTCATGAACGTGCCGCGAAGTCCTCGACTTGCTGTTTGTTAATCATGAAAAACGAATCGCAAGGAGGAGTTGCATCATGGTTATGAAACGTCCTTCCTGTGTGTTCCAACGCTGTCAAAGTGCTGCTGGAGGCCTCAAGCGTGCAGACGCTGCAGAAGCGCCGTGGAACAACGCGGCCTCCCAATATGTGAAGCAACGCCATGAAAACAAAAGATAATCCTGCCCTCGTCCGCCTCGGAGAATCAGGGCTGTTGAGTTCAAACTCTTAAAAAAAGAAGAAGAAGAAAGAAACTCCTCCCTCGTCTCAATAGCTAAATCACCAGATGATGACCGAGATATTTGGCTCAAGTTTGAGCCCGGTGCTTGTAAACATTTGTGAATTCCGGATCAGTTTGATTTACAAATGTGTCACGCAGAAAAAGCTCTGCAGGGGTGTTGAACCGTATTGAACGTCTCTGAAGGGGGAAAGATAAGAACTACGATCCTACGGTCGGCCTCTTGTGCTTCCAGAGCTTCATGAAAGCTTCGCTGAGCTCCTTTTTTTCTTCTTCTTTGCTTCCTTCTGTCCTGTGAGGGGAAAGAGACACTTTTTACTGGCTCTAAACTTGTTTATTGAGTTTTACGGAGAGCCTCGCTCCCTTCTTCTGGGCAACGCCTCGATGTCCCCTGGACGCTGAGCTGCTGCGAGGACAATCTTCTGTCCTCTACGACCTTTATTATCCGCTTCTTCGTTCTCTGGAAATACAATTGAGAAACTGCAACTGATGGAGGCAATGTTTAAATGTTAGGACAAATACCTCAATATCAAAGCGGTGCAACAATCTAATGAGGAGAATCCGTGATGCAATGCATGGGGGGAGAGCTAATAACGTTAGCAGCTATGCTGACGGTTAGCGTACCAACGTTCCATCCATGTCCATTGTGATGCGTTCAGGCTCTGGTTAGTGAGAATGAGTATTTGGTGATCTGTAAGTTACGTTGCCATGTTGTCCTCATATTTCATCTTGTTACGTTTTTTTTGGAACATCTTGTTTTTGCATTTTTGTGTTTTTCATGCACTTAAAATCGACTGATCATGAGCTGTTTAACCTCTGGACACAAGCTCTTTGCTCTCTTATAATCGATCATTTGAGTCAGTTTTCACTGTCCAATAAACTCGTATGTTTGATATTATTGGGCCGTTTTATTTCAGTATAAAATCTTATATCCTGCGACCATAAACTCACTCGTAACACAATCGACTTCCTGCTGGAACACTTTAATGTGCCGCTGCTTATTGTTGAAATGCGTCCCGTCTTTGGATATATTGCCGTGGAGAGCTGCGCCTCGTGGTTCATGTATTCAGGGTTATAAAACCTTTTTTTTTTGTTTTGGGGAATAAAGTCTTAACTCTCGCAAGCCAAGCAGCTCTGTTCCACCAGCTGCCACCGGCACAAGTATCCAGCATGTGGCCGGTGTTAATATCCAACAAAGCACAAACACTGGACAGCGTCCGACTCGCCAGCACACAATCTGCTGCCACGGACGAGCCGCAGCCTGACGACGTCTTCTTCTTCTGCCTCCTTCTCTTCCTCAGGTCCGGGAGCGTCCACGACAACTGGGGCGAGATCTACTCCTTTGTGAAGAACCTCACCGACAGATTCGTGAGGTGAGTCCAAAGTGGCTCGGACACAATAAAAACATCACCTATTCAGTCACTGTGGAATAAAGCAAATGAAGAGAAAATCACCGAATAAAGTGCAATGAGGTTTAAAGGGGCGAAAATACGTCAGGTTCTTTAATTTTACCCGACAAATGTCTACAAGTAAAGATCCTGCGTCCACCTGTTTTACGCCACTCGTTTTTTCTCTTTTTAAACTCATTTTTTTAAAAAACAACACAAAACCGTCTTGAAACGTTCGTCTTGCATAACGTTTGAGTCAAAAAGCGGCGCCTGCCAGCACCGTGCAGACGGCGGCGACCCGCCAGAACGCAGCGCTTTGGTTGAAGGAAAATAGCAAAGGCACCAGGTGGGAGTGGGTGGCAGCGAGGAGCAGTCTTCTGGGCTGTGAGAATGGCCATTTGCACCGGGGGGGGGTGTTTGAATGGGATGTGGGGGGGTTTGGGGGGGTCCGGCTTCCACGCCGACGGCCAGACAGACAATGTACAGTAAAGCAAAAGAACACTGGAAGGCGCCGAGGACAATCTGCTCTGCGCCGCTCGCTCACCAAGCGCGCTCCTCTCGCGCCATGTGGTAGCGAACCGGACTCCTCCGTCACCCCCCCCCCCCCCCAAAAGAGAGAAGCCCCCACCACCACCACCCTCCAACATGTCCTTGGCATCGCTGCCCTGTCTTCCTATACCGGATCACAAGCGCCACCGGGCGGCGCCTAGAAAGTCACCGCCCACCAATCGTCATCTGCGTCTCGGTTCCTGTTTTATTTCTATTTTTTGGGTTCCACATATAAGAATCTTCAGCGTGCCGCCTTATGCGGGAGATGGAGGTTCTGGTTTTATTCTGGTGGATCCATTTTGGGAGAATTGTGACATTTCCTTTAGGACATGAAGTCGTTTTTTAATTTAGTGCGTTTGTTTTGTGCTGGATGTTGGTAGCAAAGGCGTTGCGTTTTCCTTTTGTTACCTTTTATTTCACAGTTGTATTTTTCAGTTCCCGTACTTAATATTCCGAGAGAAGTCGTATCGTAGGATGTGGTTGTTTTTAAGGAAACGGCTTTGTTTCATTTTGTTAAGTCGAGGATAATCTGATCCCTCAAAGATGAAATGCTTAAAAATGAGTCCAATTTGATTCCTGTTTGTGACGCACACGACCAAATAGACTAAAAATTAAATCTAAAACGAGACCCCCGGTTGGAGGGAGATGAGTTGGATAATTCCTGAATTAAAATGTGGAGGAGTTGGATATTTTGGCAATAAATGTTTCCTGATTCCTGATGACTAAATGAATATAGACAGAAAAATATTGACATTTTATTTAAATCATAATTTTGCACATTTCAGTTTCCTTTTTTTTTAAACTGCTTCTTAAGTAAAAAAAAAAAACACGTTTGTTTAGTTGAAGTGTTTCTATTCTACGAGTTTGGTCTCTCTGTGCTTTTAAAGGCTGATTCACAGCAGAGTGAACAACAGAACCAGGCTCTTCTCTTATTTACCCAGTTAGTCATTTCCACCTCATTCATGGTCATAAGTGTCATTTAAGTATTTAGTAAAAGCGCACCGTCGATTGACGATTTTGTCGATGACAAACCTCTCGGGGGTGAGAAGTAAACGCGACGCTCACATCTTGAAGCGGGTTCATCACGTCCAGTTTTGTGGATTAAAACGTTTGCACGCTTTTACTTTCTGGTGTTTGCACAATTCTCCACTCGAGCTGCGGCTTCTCCAGCACAACTTTACAGGCGAGCGTCGCGCACTCTCTTTGTTCTCTTTGCTGGTTTGCTTTTCACAAACTCGTAGCTGGAACGCCGCGGCGCAGCGAGGCGGGATGAAAAGCCTTCGTGGTTTCGCTCATCCGTTCACACCCTTAAACTGTCACAGGTACACAGTGTGTTTGTGACTCATCAGCGCAACATGCTTCCTGTCGGTGGATTGATTAATCACTTCCTTCGCTTCCACAGAAGTCAGGCGCTGATGTTTCTGTTTGGTTAATCATACGCTACTCCGTGGGTCCTTAGCTGTGTGCTGAAGCCTCGGCTGGTGTGTGTGTGCGTGTGCGTGTGCGTGTGTGTGTGTGAGACAAGAGGACTGAAGCGGTCTGAGCTCAGTGCTTGTTGAATGCAAAGCTTTTACGCACCGCGTCCATCATCTGTTTTAAAGATCGTCTCCGTTCCACATCCAGGACCAAGAACCCGTTTGGTGGCATGTTGCCATTGGCAACGGTTAATAAGTGGCCTCTGGCCTTTAACATAAGGACAGAATAGTCTTTCATCTCCAAATATGTACATTTAAAAAAAAAAAAAAAAAGGTTGCGGCTATTTTTTACCGGTCGCACAAAATCCAACAAGACGAGATCCAGTTTGGTTTTCAAATCAAAAAAAGTGAAGAAAACCATATCACACGTTATAAAAATGTTGTACTGTTAGATTTATCTCATTGAAATGATTATGGATTGAGTCGCACCTTTAAATGTTTTTGATCCTGTGAATGTTTTTATGTGTGTGTGTGTATATATATATATTTATATTATATTAATGTTCTCATTTGGTAAAACGTGTGAGGGAGTTTTAATCGGTTTGCTTTCCTCCTCAGCCCCAGGATGAGAGTCTCCTTCATCGTCTTCTCCACTCAAGCTAAAGTCCTGCTGCCTCTGACTGGAGACAGGTACCGACCTCTGGTCACCGCAGCAACCAAGCGTGTCGATTCAGTCCTCCTATGAAACACGATGACGGCCAACGCACTCGTCATGAAACCAATCCGTTATGTTTAAATGCTGCGTGACGGTTTTTCGTTGGGCTTCTCCTCGCTGGTCGCCACAGTGGAATGTTTGCATAGCGACATGAGTTGGAGGTTAGAGGTCCAATTCCCACCGGGCCTCTGGATGCCCAAACTGGGCAAACGGCTTCACTTTTCATCTTAATTACCAGAAGCAACTTGTTAAAAGTCTCTTTTCCAGCGCGACCACAATCCCACAGACCACAAAGTGCACGTGGAGCCCAAATCTCAACGTCTATTGTTCGTGTGTGTGTTCAAGAAACGAGATAGAAGCAGGTCTGAAGAGCTTACGGGAGGTGAAACCGGTCGGGGAAACGTACATGCACGAGGGGATCAAAGAGGTCAGTTCGATGAACGGCGGCTCTGCACCGACACGTGGACGGAGGTTCTGACGCGTCTCCGTTCCCCCCCCCGCAGGCCTCGTCTCAGATACGGACGCACGGCACCAAGTCCGCCAGCATCATCCTGGCTCTGACGGACGGGAAGCTGGAGGTTTACGTCCACGAGCTCACAGTGAAAGAGGTGACGTCCGCACGAGCAAATGGCAGCTCGCTCATTCTTTGTTTCAGCCACTTTCAGAGCGCAGAAGAAGAAAATGCATGTTTTTCCTTTTTGTTTGCCTTTTTATTTATTTATTTAAGATAATCCTGTTATTAGTGCCGCAGTGGGACAAATAAATGGATTATTTTATCTTATCGCAGGATGTACAGCCGCCTCGGTTAAAGAGCGTAAACAAGAAACTAGATTAAAAACAAGTATTTAAATAAGCAGGTAAAAACAATCCAGAAAAATATTATAGATACAAACTGCGACTGTTAAAACCTGTTTTCAACAAGTTAGTTTTTTTGTTAATGGCATTTTTAGTTATTTACAGTTGTTGTTTTTTTTTTGGGTTTCAGGCAGAAGAGGCGAGGAAATTCGGCGCCCGCGTCTACTGCGTCGGCATCAAGGACTTCGACGAGCAGCAGGTAAGAAAATGGGCGGGGAAGGTGGCGGCGTGTGGTGGTGGGTGGCGTTTACCTGCAGGGGGTGGGGGTGCCTGAAAGGTGCCTGAAATCCGTCCGCTGTCAGCTCTTTGTGTCCGTCGTGTCGCCGTCTTCCCTGTAACCAACGGTAACCGCCCTGCGACCAGCGCTCCTCATTGAGTTTGCTCCCAGTTTGCGTCGCTGTGATTTCTCTTTCTTTTTCGAGCAAAGCGTTTGGCCACAGTGACGCCATCTGCTGCGTCTCCTCCGGCCCGCGATGCTCCGCCGTGAAGAAGGGGGAGAGAAAAAGAACGCGGCGTTAAATCGTCGTACTTCTGTGTTCGCTCACCTCTCCGGTGGTACCCACAGCTCGCCGAAATCGCCGACACCAAGGACCAAGTGTTTCCTGTCAAAGATGGCTTCCACGCGCTCAAAGGCATCGTCAATTCTGTGAGTTCTTCTGTTATTGTGT